AAGGAGAAATTCAAGGACACTCAGGATTATGAAGTGAAAATTGGATAGAATAATCAATTACATTCTATGTTAATGTAATAAAATCTGGCTGTTAAATTTAACATCGAATCCTTCTATTACAAGACTCTCAAATTTGGATTGAGTCATTTTGCCAAGAATATCAACTTATATCATGAACCACTCTTCATTTAATGTCAGAATCAATCTAGATTGATTAAAAGATATTAGTTATATTGTATAGTGTGTAAATACTTGGCTAAAGACAAGTTAAATGAATTGAATGAGGATTCAAAAATACCAAAAATGAAGAGAGTCAAAAAAAGATTTAATTCTGTCATTTTTAAGAGTCATCGATAAATTAAGATGACTACCAATCCCAAGGAAGGACAAGCCAGAGCTTCCATTTTGATGTAAGGCAATACATCCTAGATATATCGAAAATTGCAAGCTGAAATTGCTTACAATGGACAACAGACTTACGCCATCTCACTTCAAAAGTTGTAGGAACAAAGACCATTAGAAGTTAGACCTTATTATTTGAGGAAGGCCTTGTATTTCTTATTGTGTGATGAGATTGATAAGATCAAGGCGTTTGCATCACGTTTATAAGAGGAATTGCAGACTGACTATAGTTTAATGACTCAAAATAAGTTGAGTGACAACTTCATTCAATAGATATTAAATGAAATTCCAGACAAGAATTTAAATTTGGCTTACTATATATTGAAAAAACTATATCCCATAATGTAGACAGAACTATAATTGAATGATGTCTTATACAAGTTTCTGGGACAGAAGATCTCATCGAACATTCAGAATTACTATGATTGTTCCCATTTCTTCGACATCATTGTCACTCACAATATGTCATAAATAGAGAATTACACCAAAATACTGTTGTATTGGAAACCACCTCATATATAATTACTACTAAAATACATAACAGATCAATTTGAAAACTATCCTGATGTTCAATTGTGTTTTTCTAAGATCATGAAGAGATTACACAGTGAACAAATTATATTTTACTTGTCATAGATCTTACAATCCCTAGCCAGTAAATCTGGATAGTTGATAAAGACATTCCTCATAGAGTATGCTCAGTAATCAGTCTTATTCGCCCATCAACTTTTGTGGTTAGCAAGGGTGGAGAGTAAGATAGACGTTGATCACAAGAGACCTCCTTCCCCTAAGAATAAGAGTCAACATCAAAATATATTAAGAACACCTGAATATTAATAATTTGTAAGGGATTTGTTGAACCAAGGTCGTATTCAAAGGAAATAGTATCAAATAAGTAAGGTGGCACCATTCATCATCTCTAAAATCATACGGAATATGGATTCTGAATAGACTTCCTTCTTTAAGAAGGTGGATACATTCTACGAGAGTGTGACTGCGATCTCTGGGTAATTGAGACCTCAGATGAGTAAACCTGAGAAGAGGGAGATTATTGCCAAGAAACTCAGAGAAATAGTATTAACATAGGATATTTACATGCCAACTAATCCTCGATATCAAATAACTTCGATTAAATTAGATTCAGGAACACCTATGCAGAGTGCAGCTAAGTGTCCAATTTTGGTTAGTTTCCTTTGTAGGAAATACGAGGGACCTGATAAGTATTTTGAAAGGAAATTGAAAGAGAAAAGGGAGTTTGGTAAGGCTTTGGAAATTGAATTGACCAAATAATTAAAGGAAGAGGATATCTAAAAAATGTTGATCATCTTTGAGTAAGATCCTTTGCCCGATGATGAAGAGAAAGGATAATTGTTCATAAACGAGTTGGTAAGACCATTAATCAGTAATGGACAAAACTAAATAATGAGTCAAAGTATGCAATCCAATTACAAGGATTCTCGCATTCACAAGTAATCACAATCCTTTGAGAAACACAGTGTTAAATAACCTACTCCCAGAGGAAGTCTTAAGAAACAAACTACCAATTATAACAATCCTGATTAACAATAGGAAATCAAGTCATGCATCTTCAAAGTATTTGATGATATCAGACAAGACAACTTGGCCTTATAAATAATCAGTATGTTTAAGGGTGTGTTTGAAAGGTGTGGATTGGATTTACATGTCTTTCCTTACAAGACCATTTCAAATCGAACAGGCAAATCTCTCAATGTGGGAGGAATCATCGAAGTTGTACCTAATACTATCTCTAGGGATCAACTAGGTAAGACTAATCGATGTACTTTATATGAGTATTTCATTAACAAATTTGGAGCAGAGGACTCATTGTAATTTCAAATAGCAAGAGAGAACTTCATTAAGAGTCAAGCAGCTTACAGTATTATCAGTTACATTTTGCAAATCAAGGATAGACACAATGGCAACATTTTGATCAGTGATAAGGGACACTTGATTCACATTGATTTTGGATTCATCTTTGATATTAGTCCTGGAGGGAATCTTAAATTTGAATCTGCCAATTTCAAACTGACCAAAGAGATGAGTCAAATTATGGGTGGAGAGGTATCCAATACATATCAAAATCTTAGGCGTTTAATTACTATGTGGATCTAACAGTGAGAGCCTTTTTAGCCATTCGACATTACTATGAGCATTTCTATTATTTGGTGACTCTGATGACTAATTCTGGATTGGGATGCTTTATGAAGGATTCGATGAAGAATTTCACAGAGAGATTTTAAGTATATCTAAATTTGAATAATTTTAGTTAAAGAAGAATGACCTGGCTGCTGCGAAGTATATGTAGAGTATTATTGAGGACGCGAATGATAAGATAACGACGAGATGGTATGATAACATTTAGTACTATTAAAATGGGATATCAAGATGATATTAAATAATACATAGTGTATATATATATAATTATGTTATTTTAAAACGGATCTATGATCACAGGAAATTTGGCTGAATTTGTATGGGGAAGTGTTGAGCTGGCTCTGAATGTCCTATTGTACTCCAGATTGAAATTGCCACAAAAAGTGATGTCTCCAGGTCTCTTACGTATGTCACTCGTTCGGGAATGCAATTACAACTTTGGGGTTGATACTAAGGTACATTAGGATGTACATAAGTTCCTAGATTGTCAGATATGTTGTGGCCTCCTTACTGACTCCGAATATGGTGAGACACTTTCGTAATTCAAATGATTCTTATCACTTCATATACGGTTGCTTCATGTGCTTTGATGCAATGATCGTTATGGATATGTTTCCTATGACAGATACTATCTACGCTATAATCCTCATTTTACGATTGTTTCATCTTTTAGATATCCTACTCAAAATTAGCAGGGCTGCTTAATCAATAAAGATTCATATGAAAAAAGTGATAAAAATTTAATTCAATTCTTTGAATTAAGTGAACACTTCAAATTAGATGAGCATGATTTCTAAGAAATTGGAAGTGTCTCCTCCAAATTCTTCATAAACCACGAATGCGAGTTCACTCAATGAGGTTGAGAGTAACCAGAAGAGTAAGAAAAGACTTCAATTTCCTAATGTCTATTAGATCAAGGTACAGACATCAAAAACAACGAAAATCAACATATTGATTGATGAACCTGATAAATTTGATCTACTATTCGATTAATAATTAAACATGGATAGAAGGACGAATCTTCAAATCAAGCTGAATTTATGTGCTCAAGTGTATTGGACTTTGAAAAAACAATACCCCTGCGAATGGTTGCTTACACAGATTGCTCAATATCAAGCCGAGTTGTTGCTTTTAGATTAATGATTTTCTTTAACCCGTTTTTTTATTTTAATTAATGAAATTGCTTGTATTGCTTTGCATTGTGACTCTCACATTTGCAGATTAAAGGATTGACTTTTTCAACAAGCTCAGTCAATCTGACTTCGGAAGGACAATCTTACAAACAATTCAAGTGCAAGAGTACGTATTTATATTCAATCCCCAGAAACAATGTCGAACGTGTGTTGTAATTCATTAGACAATTACAAGTGGACATTAATGCAGCACAAACTGAACACACCAACTACTTACAAAATAGAAATGGACAAATCGCATAATACATTACCGAAGCTGATTAAGCTCTCGCTAAAGCTAAATAATAAAAGGCACAAGATGAGGCATAGCGTACACTTATTATCCTATTTCCCACTAGTTCCTTTGAAGGAGGAAGAACTTAATGATAAGAGGGCACAAGGCGAAACCAAATTTGCTGAAAAACAAAGAAATTTAGATCGTATTGCTGCACTTACTGCTGAAAGAGAGGAGAGCAAGAAAGCCTATGATTAAAGAAGAACTGAAATCGTGGGTTTGTTGGCTGCATTGAATTAAGGCAAGAAACTGATCCAATAAATTAAAACTGGGTCTGTCTTCACTCAATAAGAGATCTTTGCAGATATCGAACATCATCACAAGAAATTCGTTCAGAGATTCCCAGACAGAAGAGGTTTCAACTCCTTGGTTTCCTTGTCCCTTGCTATGGCTCAGGATTCAACCCTAAAATCTGATCAATCTGCATTAGAGAGAGTAGTCCAAGTCATTGAAGATTTGGCTGATAGTCTATTCTAACTGTACAAATTATATTCGACATCATTTTAGATAGAAACAAGAAATGGAAGCTGACGATGCCAGAGAAGCAGCATTTTAATAAGCCATGTATTCATTCATTTTCATTACTATACAGTGCTCGATTGGAAATAGCCAATCAATCATTGGAAGGTGCTGTTGCCTACTTACATGCTCAGATCTTGAGATTGGAACAATCCCTCTTGGAATTGTAGAATGACATTGCCACCCAAGCTTAAGTATATTACTTAATGTATTTTGAATAGATGGTCGTTAACAAACAGAATGAAAAGGCTGACTGGTTGAACATTCAAAGAGATGAGACCAAATCCTATGGAAAACAAACTGAGAATAGGTATGGCATTCGCAATTACTTTAGAAAATCCCAATTGGACTTGTTAGGAGAAACTGAAAATGTATTTAGCAAAGGCCCTTTGACACCTGAATAGCAATCGTTCTTATAACACTTAAAGTGATTAATATAAATGAAAATTAATAACAATAATAACAACGATACGTAAAATTCTTAGGCATAAAAGAATTTTAATCAATAGATCAAGCTAGAGGCAGATGATTTCAAGAGACAGTTCAAGTTTATAGATAAAGAGAAACTTTTCATGGAACTTCAAAATTACAAAATCGAAAACAACAATCTAAAAGAGGAGAACACCAAGTTACGCACGCGCATCCAACAGACCGAGGTAAGCCAACCACATATGCTCAGAAAGAGCTCCTCAATTATGAGAGACTCTGCGAGAACATGACCGAGTAGACACCCAACAAGAAGAAGGCCAATGAGTTACTACTCATCCAACTCAAAAAACAGAACAAGGACCTCCAATAGTCACTCAAAGAACGTACAGTCTAAGTTGAGCACCTTAAAAAAAACACCAAAGTCACCAAATTTCAAGAGTTAGAGTGTGATCGCAAGGCCTATTTTGATGAAACCGTGCGTATGCGTAAACTTATAGAAGAGAGTTAATCATAATTCCAATCTATGTTGAGGTACATCATCCTTATCCCCTAATTTATAGTAAATACAATCAAAGTCTTCAACTTGAAAGTGAAGTTTAGAAACTACTCAAAACAAATGAAAATCTGATTGCTGAAAACAAAGCACTCAATCAAAAGAGTCAACAATCAGATGAAATGATGCGATAGCTCCAAGTATTTTGTCCATACATTTATTTAGCAATTGTACAAACTAAACTAATAGAAACAATAAACTTTGGACAAACATATCTAAGATCTAAAAAATCAAATAAAGAAATTATAAACAGACAAAACCAATCTTAAATAAACCATTAAATAGATGCAGGAGGCTCAATACCAGCATCTCCAATAACCATAACCAAAACCAAAAAAAGACCCGACTCCTCGTTAACCCCTATTGCCCAGTTTAATTTTAGATGAATTGAGATTCAAATTGATTTATCGTGGCATTACAGTCGAGTAATTCGCTGAAATGCTGGAAGGTCTAAAGTAATAAGCACGAGAATAAAATGTGACAGTTAAAGTCGATGATTTAAGACATATCTTTGCTCAGTAAATAAATTTATACTCATTATAATTAGAGAGCCCTTTGCATACACAGATCCAAACAAAGTACAATCCATATTAAACTCACTTAATGGTCATGGCAATTAGTTAGTAGAGAATTTGAAATCCCTTATTGGAAATTACAAGACTTTCATGAACTTTCCAACATTTGATTTTGAATAAGCCCAAATTAAGATGAAGGCCTAACTGAAACAAAACGAGAAGAAGATACAAGAGTTTTGGAACAAGCAAAAAATAAAGGGAGATGTAGTCACCAAATCCGATGTTCGAAAGATGCTTAACTCCCTTTCTTTAAATTGGTAGGAACCAGAGAATCTCTTCTATTTCCTATAACTATTTGAGAAATCAGGAGAAGATCTATAACATATCCCAATAATAGACACTTATGATCCATTTACTATAGATGACCCATCACAGTAAAATCAAATGACTGGACACTAGAATATGAGGATATCAGAAGAATCAGATGAGGAATTATTTGACAAATAGAGTCAAGATTATTCGCTAGATGAGAATGCCGTAAAGAAAAAGAAAGAACAAGATCAGGGTATTGTATTCAGAGATGAGGGTCACATTGTTTAACAATAAGGACAGTAATAACAAGAGTTTGATAAAGAGGAAAATGGAGATGAGAATGAAAATTATAATGAAAATGAGAATTAAGATGAGAATTACAATGAAAATGAAGATGAAAATTACAATGAGGAAGAGGATCATTAATAGAAAGGTTCAGAATTAGATAATGGAGAAGGGAATGATCACTATGAATAGGATGAATATGAGTAGAACGAACAGGATGAATAATAGGAGGGACATCAGGAAAATGAGCAAGAAGATTAGAATTAAGAAAATGAGAATAATAATCACGAAGAATAATAAAATGAATATGAAAATGAAGAATTTGATTGATTTATTTTAAAATAATATGAGTACGCATTTATATTTAATTACGCATTCCTTTTTAATTAAATTATAATTATAAATAATGAAGTGCGCACTTCTTATTAATAAATACGCATTTGTTAATAATTTGTAAAATTTATGCGCACTCGAATGTTTACAAATACTAATTTGTGTATATTTGGTTAATAATTAATTCAATCAATGAAAGTCTTATCAACCACAACATAATAAGATGATCACTTCTTAATCTCAGACTATGATTACAAGTCAACCAACATTGAAAAGAATGGAGACAAGTACATCGCAAAACCATAGATAACAAATTTCAAATTCAAGACTGACACTAGAATTCCAAAATTAGGTGTCATGCTTGTAGGATGGGGTGGTAACAATGGAACAACTCTTACTGGAGGTATATTGGCCAACAAATTCAATATTACTTGGAATAGCAGAAGAGGAACTCATTAACCTAATTTCTATGGTTCTCTTACATAAAGCAGTGTCATTAAGATTGGTACATGCAATACTGAAGAAGTATTCGTTCCATTCAAAGACGTCTTACCAATGGTCAATCCATGTGATATTGTATTTGGAGGATGGGATATCAGTTCATTGAATTTGGCTGATGCTATGGGCAGAGCACAAGTTGTTGACTATGATTTGCAATAAAAATTGAGACCATATTTAGAGAAGTTGGTTCCATTACCTTCAATCTATTATCCAGATTTCATTGCAGCTAACTAAGGTGATAGAGCAGACAATGTCATTCCAGGAAATAACAAATTAGAACATCTTAATATCATCAGAAAGAACATTGCCGACTTCAAATAATAAAATAATTTGGATAAAGTAATCCTCTTATGGACAGCAAATACAGAGAGATTCTGTGTTGAAGATCCAAATGTTCATGGAACAGCTGAGAAATTAATGAAATCCATAGAATCAAGTCATCCAGAAATTAGTGCATCAACAATCTTTGCATGTGCTGCTTGTTTAGAAGGATGCTCATTCATTAATGGATCACCATAAAATACTATTGTTCCAGGAGTTATTGAATTAGCAGAAAAGGCTGGTGTCTTTGTTGCTGGAGATGATTTCAAAACTGGATAAACTAAATTTAAGACTTGTTTAGTTGAATACTTGGTTGGTGCTGGTATTAAACCAAAAGCCATCATCTCATATAACCATTTAGGAAACAATGATGGAAAGAACCTTTCATAAGAATCATGTTTCAAAAGCAAGGAAAGAAGTAAGAAGACTTGTGTTGATGATATTTTGGAATCCAATAAGGTTTTGTATCCCACAGAGGAGGAATTGAACATTGATCACACTATTGTTATCAAGTATTGTCCAGAAACTGGAGATAGCAAGAAAGCTATGGATGAATACATTGCTGAAATCTTTTTGGGAGGAAGATAAACCTTTGCAGTTTATAATGTTTGTGAAGATTCCTTATTGGCTGCTCCATTGATTATGGATCTCTTGTTGTTATGCGAATTATTTGAGAGAATCCAATTCTCTAAGGATTCCACTGAATTCCAAAGATTTGATACAGTATTGTCTTGGTTGAGTTATTTGATGAAGGCTCCAAAATCCGAGAGTGGAATCACTACCATCAATGCTTTATCAAGATAGAGAGCTATGCTTGAGAATCTAGTTAAAGTATGTGCAGGATTGACTGTTGATGATAATCTTAGATTGGAAGTTAGATATGGTACTAGTAGATTTTAATAATGATTTTTTAACTACATTTTGTTTATATCAAATGAATTAATATATAATCAAATTGATTTAAATTCTCTCAAAAATGAAAATAATTGATGATATCAAATAGTAAGTGGAGAAGGAAATGAAAAAGTTTGATCCTCGATTGGCAGAAAAGAAGTATTTGAAGATTACTTAATCAATTAAGGATTTGTTTCTTAAGGCAGTTGTTAGTGAAAAACAAACCATTAAAGCTGTATTTACCAATTTGAAACAAGGCTGCCCACTCTATTGGTATCAATTACTCTTCGGCCAAAGCCATATGGGCTGAATTCAGAGCCAAACAAAAAATGAAGAAGAGCAAAAAACTTAATGCACAAGATTAGTAGGCATCCAGGGAAGTTGTGAAAAGATGTCAATACAAAATACTAAATGGCTGTAATAGAATTAAGAAATTATTCATGGAAATCAAATCATCTGTTGCGTAGCGTTTGAATTCTACATACATGATTTCCTTGGAGTAGCATATATGAATATTATTAATTAAAATGAGCGGAAATATTAGAGTTAACTAGTATATTTCCATAATAAAACATTCAAGGAGTCTCAGTACTCTCAGAGGGTAGAGAGGATTGGAAACCGATATTCATACTCTCAAAATGCTAATACAACATTCGGTTGAGGATTAGCTAATCATGCACAATTTATAAAACTCCCTCTTTAGATAGGATAAAGCGACAGGCACTCATTAATTTAGAACTAGGCTAGATAGTAAACCAATGATTCAGAAACTCATGCTCAAAGATACCAGAAATACGATTAACTAAACTCTAACCTATAATCTTAAACTTCCAATTCGATGAATGTGAGAATATTGAAGTAGTTTACTTTCACATTGTAAGTATGTAACAAAGCTATAAGTCTTGGATATAGAACTTTTGAAAGGTAAATCACTGCAATGATCCCTATATAAATCCTCTTTTTGTACTAATAATATAATTTAATTTAATTTTATATTTATATATAAATATGGAAGAAATGAAATTTTCACATAGATCTTAATCATTAACTGATTTTTAAAGCGAAATTTACACCAGATTCCTTGATATGCACGAAGAATTGTCCAAATCTTCTAAAAACATCAACTATCTCATCAACCATAGTCTTAAACAATTAGAAAGCAATTAAGAGGAGGCTAGATTTAGTTTTTCTGCTAACTCTTAATATCAACAAGAACTAAATTCTTTTGAAGAAATGGTAATTGAAGAAGACTTGGATTTAGAAACACAACCTTCAAATAATGAAAGAGAAGAAATTTTAGAAAATAAAATTAAAATCTATGAATCTGCACTTAATACATTTTAACATGAGAACTTCAAAAAAGATCAAGAAATTATCAGACTTAAAAATTAGTAATGATTCTATCAATAACTATAGATTAAATGATTAAAATATATAGCACACTATTTAAAATCCAGATGAAATTTATTAAGAATAAAGTGTTATTAGATAGCAATTACAAATCCTTGATGGATAATAAGACTATTAATAAGAGTAGAAAGACCTTCACAAAAAAATGAAAGAATGGGAAGACATAATCATAAAGCAATAGACCTTAATAAATTCCCAGAAACTGGAAATTAATCGATTAAAAAATATAAATTCATACTTGCACAAGTCTATTGAAAAACTATAAACATTTTGAAAATATGATTATGCATATTAATTTAATTTCAGATTCTACATACATAGGAACTACTCTATGTGATATATCTCACCCATCTATGAGGATTGGTAGTATTGCCTCTCTCCTCAATTCTCAAGTATTTGATTTGCAATCTGCTTACATTAAACATTGGTATTTCAAAGCTCATAGCAATAGGGCCAATCTCTTTTCTTGCAGTGTGAGCAGTCTATGTAGCCTATAGAGTTAATTTAATCTAAAAATATATAACAATTCATTAATACTTTTAATGATCTTTCCTAGCCACCACAAAGTTTCTTGATCTACCATTCAACCATCTTTTTATTTGAATCGTATTCAGCAGTCTCCAATTAAGCATTCTTAACTAATTCAGGATAGGCATTTGCAGTTTGTTTTGGAATGGGAATTCGAACATTCGCATAAGATGCAATTATTTTGGCATCAAAGCAGGCTTTCAATTTGATAGTTACTTCAATTTTAGATGAGGAAACCTCTTCAATAATGGGAAACAGCCTAAAAGGAGCAGCATAATCTCCACTTATACGATAATTCATAACAACGAATTAGCCATCAGGTGGTTGTATACGTAATGTTTTATTCATATCTAATTCATTTGCATTAACACACTCATGGAAATTGCAATCATCCTTTATTATGTTATTAATTAATATATACCAAAGTGACTCCAGCTGAATATTGCCCTTGTTATCTTCCAATTTGAAGATCTTCATTCAATGCCAATTTTAGCGGTGGATTTCCTTGTAAAAATGATGTCATTTGTATCTATTATATTGATAAAATAGATTACACATCCTTCGATACTCTAATTGATAACATATGCACTAGAATTAAAGAGAACATTGAGTTTTTCATAAATATCAACAAAAATTTCATTTGCTTAATTTTTGTTTAATACCGATCGCTAGACAGCTTGACTTCCAATGGTGTTTGGAACAAAAATGTTGAATGTTTGGATCTTTGGTCTCAGGGAGTTCATGACTGAATCAGGTTAAGGCTGAATTGGGTCATTCACAATGAGTGGTTTGATTTATTCTGTAGCCATGAGTTGAGGGTAGCCAAAATCAAAGGATTCATCTAGAATCTATGAAAAATAGAATATTGATGACTTCATAGATTAAGATGAAATTCTTTCTAAGGACTTCTTCATTGATGACTCCACAAAAATCTTTGATTTCCTTGGCTAATCGATCCAATAATTCTAATGACATAGCTGGTTGTAAGTTGAATCTGGATGTGCCAACAATGTACAATCCTAAATTTAAGTATGAGAAGAGAACCTCCTCTTTTTATATGAGCAAATTGGATGCAATCTACAGTAAACAAAGGATTGGCATCTCCTGAGTAGGTTTTAGCCTGTCTGAAGAAGGTTTCAGGTGTGGATTTAGGTAAATCTGATCTGAAATCCCGATTGATGATGGTGTCACCTCTGGGAGAGAGAATGAATATTTATGAAAACATTATTATATATATTTTTATTTATGATGGATCAAGCTCTTGCAAGGAATTCTTGTACATTATGGACTTCATTGATCTTCTTTAAGGCATTTTTAAATGCACTTCTATCAACCAACCTATCATCAAACACATATTTGATTCTCTTTTCTCTGTAAAGAACAGGAAGCCACAAGTTTGTATATCCGAAAAGCACTCCTTCAAGAACAAATCGTTTCAATTGGGAGTCTTAAGCAGTCAATACAGCCCATGTATTGCTTAATTTGAATGAGTGTTTAACTTGATCCAAATAATCGAATTACACAGTATCCCAACCATGATAATCAATTGGCTGCAATTCCCAAGCAAATTCCTTACTCTTGATGCCACTGAAAAATTATGACCAAAATCCAGCATCCTTATGGTCTTACAAACTAACGACTACATCCACAATGTTCTAAGTGGATAAATACTTAGCATTTTTAGTTAAGTTTGACAATAAGATGTCTTTGTTCACATCTTTTAATAAGGCATTATTTTAAATCACATACAATAATTGAGCGCTTGTCTCCACTTCTTATCCCCATTTGTTATTTTGAATAAAGGTTATTGCCTCTCTAGCACATTGAGCTGAAAATTGATAATTCAATTATGCTTCATCCTTCAAAGCATCTACAGTATTAAATTGTTAAGCTTCATAAGTTAATGCACTTGCTATTTGAGCTAATGAGAATGCTGTTAATTCATGTCCTAATATCAAAATTATTTCTAATACCCTATGGTAATCCAGTATATCTATAAGAAGGATTGTAAAAGAGGTTTGCAGAATTAAAGGTCCATCTTGCTGGGTTTATTATTAGTTTGTTAGCACTTGCAAATACTGAGGCACTCACAAACTTAGAATAATTTTTAAATAATCCTGACATTTATATTTATTTATTAAATTTTATATCATATGCTATTAATCATCCCATCTATTATCATCTCTTAATCTCCTTTATTGTTCCAAGTCTGTATATATAAATATATTCATTTTCATACTCATTGATGTATTGAATACCAAGAGATAGTGATAATTTTCTTATTTATAATAATACTAATACAGATACTTATCTTATTAATAGCATTTTGTTAAAATAAAGATTTCCTTAATATTAAAGGTAATATCATAACAAAAATCTTAATGAATTTTACACCAATTTATAATCTAAATCATTTATATAATTCCAAACATATAATTTAAGATTTGATTTATCATTAAGATAAAATTAGTTATTAAATACTAGAATATGTAAAGAAAGAGAAAGAATAGATTTAAATAAGATCTAATTTTTTGATCCTAGACTGTATTTTGAATATGTTAGATATTATTTAAATTCTAATTTATAATATACTATAATTTATGCATTCTTGTCAGATGATTTCAACAAATGCTTTGGGATGTTGGAATACTGTTGCAGCAGGCTTAACAATTTCAGCTCCTCTTGGTAAAACAGGTTATCTTTTGGTGGAAATGTGTTATTTCTTTTTATTAGCTTCTGTCTTCTTTTTATCGTTCTCTTAAACTCTTTTGACAAATTCTTCTCTGCATTTTGATGGTCTCAAATGATCAGCTCTCACATGAAATCTCTTCTCTACATATCTACCTCTGACTCTTCTTTGTAATGAAACACCAATTCCTCTAGGATTCACATTGAAGACTCTTGCTGTTCTTCCATGATAATACTAGAAGGGTACACCTTTGTGTTATGCACCATCAACTAAGATGTCAACAAAGTCACCTATAATTAACATTGATAGCAACCTCTTCTGAATGTTTAGAGTGTTTTACGGATACTGATATTACCATGACCTCTGAATGGCTTTGCAAATTTGCTTCTTGTTCCCTTCTTCAATCCGTAACTATGAGTCATTTATTCAAGATTTAAAAACTTTTAAAATTAAAAACTTATGCGTGCAATATTACATAAATTAATGTAATAACCTTTTGCTACCTTCTCAAAATAAGAACTCAAAAAAAGACTTAGTGACATATAATACAGAGTAACCCAAGAGGCAGGTACAATATCAATTAATCCTCTAGATACCGAACCTCCTTTCAAGAATGAATATTACAAATCCAAAGATCCTGGAGAATACTTCTGTATTGTTTGCGGAGATTAATTGTTTGGATCTTAACATAAGTACAACTCAGGATGTGGATGGCCCGCTTTTTGGGGCTCTTATGACTCCAAAAATATTAAGGAGATTAGGTATATTCTTAAAATTATTTTATAGTGATTTCAGCCATGGAATGACTAGAATTGAAGTTAGATGCCAGAAATGCAATGCTCATTTGGGACACAAATTTGATGATGGCCCAGCAGAACATGGAGGCATCAGATATTGTATTAACTCTGCTTCCTTATAATTTAAAAAGGAAAATAAATGACTTATTATGAATCAACAATCATTCATCCCATCCAATAGCTTTTCTTCTTCATTTGAAGCCTAAACTAATTCCCCTTCTAGTTTCTATGCTTATTTCTGATGCATTTGTACATTTTCAATATAGCTTTCATATTATTGCTAATACCTTAGTTGTAGGAAATTATTCTTATTATTAATATGTTATCATATTAGGATCGACATCTTCATATGATTTCTTTATTTTGAACTCGTTCCATTTAAATGAATTCTTCCTTTGAAATATTATTTTTATAATTCTTATAAAAAGGATCTAATGAATAATTAATTAAATAACATGTTTTTTCTGAATACTGCATTTCTGTTTATTATAATGGATCTAAATGATTTGTATTGGATAGCATTTACCATTTTTATGAATATCATATTAACATTCATGATATTCTTGTAATTTAGTCACCTTTGCAATTTTTCAAATAACTTAAATCAATTAATCTCAAATCTTTTATATTAAGATGTCGTATTTTATATAGAATCACATTATTCCCATAAAATATAAGAGAATGTGTAAATCTCTTTATAATTATTATTACTATAATTTCCCCTTTTCATTGAACCTTAAATTATATCTCTAATTCATGTTGATCTCTGAAAAACTAAGGAACTTTCTTATATATTTTTAAATTGAATCAAGTATTTCATCTTTATTTGTCATCCATATCTTTTCCTTGTTCAATAACCATATCAAACTTGATCTAAGAATTAAGCCATTAATTAATATGATATGTATATATACTCATTCTAAATATTAAATTATATTTTGAGCACAAACTCTTAGTGATTAAACTTTATGGAACTAAAATAATTAATTAATTTAATTCAATTCAGAATCATTTATTAACTACTTTACATTTAGTTCTAATATATTGGATTTGACCACTAATTGTAATCAATACTTAATACCTGAAAAAATATTGATTAACCCTCTTAACATTTCTTCAAGCAATTCATTATCATGCAATTATTCAAACAACTTAATGAAATTTGATATGATTTGATTGTTAACAAGAACCAAAATAACATCTCTATCTTTTGAAAGTGCTAAATTCACAAAAGACTTGATAAAATCATTATTTTTCAGCTACACCTATCGAAAAATTTCTTAAAAGATGATTTAATTTTCTATTAATTATTTATACTGTTTCTCAGTTCCTTTACAAAGCGAAAGACAGCAAGTTAAAACCTAAAATAAAGTAAAAAAAAAATATTAACATTCATTCTTTTAATTCTACAATTTTCATTTTTCAATAGTTTTTCAGCCACATCTAAAAATTTCTATGATAAAATATGATCACACACTTAACCACCGCTCTCAAAAAGATCACAAAGGAACTCAAAAGATTTAACACTGGTTTTTCTTTATTAATTAACAACTAATCTTAATAATTTAGGGACTATGTTGCTTTGTACAATAAGAAGGTTGTTTTCATAAGTAGATGGTATTATTTCACTTAACACTTCTAAACAAGATTGAATTATAATTTCATCATCATAATTGTTTATGAAATTACACAACTACAAAATTAAATTTTTAACAGTCTCTTCTTTTAGATAAGTTATTCCATCTGCACAGATATTGTTAAGACACCAAAAACACTATTCAATATTTTTAGGATCATTCAATTTAGAAAGTAATTTAAGTATTTGCTCAACCCCTCCTTTCTATCTGACCTAATCTCTGCAAACTTATTCTAATTCTCCAACAGTTGCTATGTTACCTAAGGTCCAACTTGCTTATAATTAAATTTATTGATAAGTTGAATTCAATTATTGTAGAATAATATCAATACCATCATTTTAAATAATTAACCGATCAAACGATTAGAATGTAGCTATATTACCAAGAATCCAAAGAACATCATATTAAATTAATGGAATCTCAGTAGTTTTGATTATATGAATCAATCTTGGAATAAGTAGTACTGCATTTAAAAAATTCATTCCAATGTCTTCATATTCATCTAAGTCGTACTTTGTTAAATAATTTTTTAAAATGACTAACTCTACATATAATGACATAATGTCTTCTGATTCCAATTTAATATTAATCATATCGTTAGCAGAAATCTACTTAAATTAGTGTGATTCAATGATTTAAATAAATTAATCAACTACTTTTTTTGGGATTGTGTCAGGCAACAATTATTTATATACTTAAATTTCCTCTGCTTAATCTTAATCCAATTCTAAATTGTTTACATTTTAGAATTAATCTTCTTAATCATTAAGAGACATTATTCTAAATTAATTATTAACTCAGAAATTTACCAGATATTGATTTCAAAAATTAAAATGCTTGAAAAAAAAAATGAATTATTACAGTCAATTTAATTATTGAGTACAAAGCTCAATTAATGGCGATAAAAATTTGCACCAGCTATTTTAGAACTTCTATTAATAGCAGATATTTATTATAATGTAAAATTAAAAAATTATTAATTACATAAATATATCATGGTTTGAATTTTATTACACTAGATAAAGGATATGGATTTGCTTATATTAATCGTTTTTTTTATTTTTTACAAACTTTTTCGCTAATTTTACTTATCAAAGTATGAAAGGTTCCATATATTTGTATCAATAAATTCACTAATAAAACTAGAAGTAACATTATAATATGAAACCAGCCAAGACATATCTAGCTATTACTGGTTATTATGGTTTTAAAAGCGCTCCAATACATAGCAGAGGTTAATGTAAAAATAAAGGCACTTCCTTCCATCATAATTAAATTACAATAGTCCTATTTTTTTATGACTGGTTTGAATTTGATTACATAAATGAGATATAAATTACATACAAATGTTAATAAGATTGTTTGAATTTACTCATTTTTTTGAAAGCATACTAAAATGAAAATGAAAACTAATTTTTTTAAGGTGAAAAATAAATCGATTTTTGAAATCCAATAACTAAAACAATTTTGTTTGATTAATTCATTCTTATAAATATATTATCTAAGTATTAACAAAGATCCATAAAATATTACATACGCGAAGATTAAACAAATTATGGATCTGAATGTAGTATATGATTATGATGATTTTAATTATAAAAAACAAGTAAAAAAAAGATCCCAACAATTTGCTATTAGAAATGCCTTAAGCCCATCCTTTCTAAATTCTTTCTAATAAATCCAACACACTCTTTTAACTTAAATCAGTAATTTATATCCAAATTTACCAAGCAAAAGTAATAATTCTACTTTGATTGAATCTATTATAATTATAAGTAAGGCACAAGAATAATAAATGATAATTAAGACAATAATGAGAAATATTTAAGTTTAAATGTTAGTTAATAGATCAGCATTAATTTCATAAAATTTTAATTTTTCATAAGATTCTAAGTATATTGTATCAAATGTTGGTGCCATAATGGAATCAACCTTAAAGAATTATAAAATAGGTTATATGGTTATTATGTTACTTGCTTCAAAGTAGATAAACAAATTAAAAGGAAATACAACATTAATAAATCTTAAATAAGATTATTGTTGTAATACTTCCAGAATACTAGAGAAAATAAATGAATTTCCTAGAAAAAAAGCAAGTATGCCAATTCCTCCAATAGAATTCATTAAATATTTACTTGCTTGATTTAAAGTAGCAGCTGCTTCTTATTTTTAATCATCCATATACTTAGGCTGATTTAGTTATATTTTATCATATTGATTATAAAGTGTATTATCTTCTGAATTATATAATTATTCATCTAAAGTTACTTCTAAGTAAGGACGTTTAGATAAAGTTTAATTTATTTAAATTTCTACCATGTATTCAACATTTGTTGGATATTCAACTGGTTCTTAAATAATAATTAAATTCAACTAATAGACATTAATGTCTATATCTATAAGATTCATTTAGATGTATTTAGAATAAAAATCTTAATTTTAATACTTAACTTATTAAGTAAATAACAATGAAACATATTATTTTTAATCTCTTTCTTCTTTAAATTAAAGATAGAATCTTGGTTGTTTAGAATAAGTACATTATGAAAAACTTAATTCGTAATTTCTGCATTGATAATCGCTTTCAATCCTACAAAATCTTGAACATCCATCTCCATCTTCTTTATTCATATCATCACATTCTTCTTCCTTTGAAACCATACCATTACCACAAAATGCAAGACATTAATTTAGTATACGATTTAATTCAAAACCTTATTCGCATAATTTACATAGTCCTTATTAACATATTTCACAATGATCTGGACAATGAAATTTACATTTAAAACATCCATCAGATTAAATATCATTTTGATCATCACAATCTTCTTATTCAACAACGATACCATCTCCGCATATTGGAATGCATTCATAATCTACTTCATAGTATCCATAATCACATTTATCTTAACATATTCCTTTAATACATAATTTACAGTGTTCTCTACATTAGTAATTGCAATTATAACAACCATCATAGGGTATGTCATTCATATCATCACATTATTCATATTCAACACTAATGAGTCCATCTCCACAAACAGGAATACAATATTAATCAATNTATCAGTAATTTATATCCAAATTTACCAAGCAAAAGTAATAATTCTACTTTGATTGAATCTATTATAATTATAAGTAAGGCACAAGAATAATAAATGATAATTAAGACAATAATGAGAAATATTTAAGTTTAAATGTTAGTTAATAGATCAGCATTAATTTCATAAAATTTTAATTTTTCATAAGATTCTATGTATATTGTATCAAATGTTGGTGCCATAATGGAATCAACCTTAAAGAATTATAAAATAGGTTATATGGTTATTATGTTACTTGCTTCAAAGTAGATAAACAAATTAAAAGGAAATACAACATTAATAAATCTTAAATAAGATTATTGTTGTAATACTTCCAGAATACTAGAGAAAATAAATGAATTTCCTAGAAAAAAAGCAAGTATGCCAATTCCTCCAATAGAATTCATTAAATATTTACTTGCTTGATTTAAAGTAGCAGCTGCTTCTTATTTTTAATCATCCATATACTTAGGCTGATTTAGTTATATTTTATCATATTGATTATAAAGTGTATTATCTTCTGAATTATATAATTATTCATCTAAAGTTACTTCTAAGTAAGGACGTTTAGATAAAGTTTAATTTATTTAAATTTCTACCATGTATTCAACATTTGTTGGATATTCAACTGGTTCTTAAATAATAATTAAATTCAACTAATAGACATTAATGTCTATATCTATAAGATTCATTTAGATGTATTTAGAATAAAAATCTTAATTTTAATACTTAACTTATTAAGTAAATAACAATGAAACATATTATTTTTAATCTCTTTCTTCTTTAAATTAAAGATAGAATCTTGGTTGTTTAGAATAAGTACATTATGAAAAACTTAATTCGTAATTTCTGCATTGATAATCGCTTTCAATCCTACAAAATCTTGAACATCCATCTCCATCTTCTTTATTCATATCATCACATTCTTCTTCCTTTGAAACCATACCATTACCACAAAATGCAAGACATTAATTTAGTATACGATTTAATTCAAAACCTTATTCGCATAATTTACATAGTCCTTATTAACATATTTCACAATGATCTGGACAATGAAATTTACATTTAAAACATCCATCAGATTAAATATCATTTTGATCATCACAATCTTCTTATTCAACAACGATACCATCTCCGCATATTGGAATGCATTCATAATCTACTTCATAGTATCCATAATCACATTTATCTTAACATATTCCTTTAATACATAATTTACAGTGTTCTCTACATTAGTAATTGCAATTATAACAACCATCATAGGGTATGTCATTCATATCATCACATTATTCATATTCAACACTAATGAGTCCATCTCCACAAACAGGAATACAATATTAATCAATTAATGTAAATGTATATTAACAATCATAACAATATCCATAAACACAAACATCACAATAATGACAGCATTCCATTTTGCATTAATAACATCCATCAAATTAATCATAATTAGAATCTTCACATTCTTCATATGATATTAATGCAATTAAATTATCTCCACATTGAGATTCACAAATGAAATGATCAGTCAAATGCCAACCGTAAATGCAATCTAAACAGATTCCTCTTTAACAATAAGAACATTCTCTTTAACAATCATTTCTACAATTATTACATCCATCAAATCTAATAGAATTCATATCATCACANTAAGATTATTGTTGTAATACTTCCAGAATACTAGAGAAAATAAATGAATTTCCTAGAAAAAAAGCAAGTATGCCAATTCCTCCAATAGAATTCATTAAATATTTACTTGCTTGATTTAAAGTAGCAGCTGCTTCTTATTTTTAATCATCCATATACTTAGGCTGATTTAGTTATATTTTATCATATTGATTATAAAGTGTATTATCTTCTGAATTATATAATTATTCATCTAAAGTTACTTCTAAGTAAGGACGTTTAGATAAAGTTTAATTTATTTAAATTTCTACCATGTATTCAACATTTGTTGGATATTCAACTGGTTCTTAAATAATAATTAAATTCAACTAATAGACATTAATGTCTATATCTATAAGATTCATTTAGATGTATTTAGAATAAAAATCTTAATTTTAATACTTAACTTATTAAGTAAATAACAATGAAACATATTATTTTTAATCTCTTTCTTCTTTAAATTAAAGATAGAATCTTGGTTGTTTAGAATAAGTACATTATGAAAAACTTAATTCGTAATTTCTGCATTGATAATCGCTTTCAATCCTACAAAATCTTGAACATCCATCTCCATCTTCTTTATTCATATCATCACATTCTTCTTCCTTTGAAACCATACCATTACCACAAAATGCAAGACATTAATTTAGTATACGATTTAATTCAAAACCTTATTCGCATAATTTACATAGTCCTTATTAACATATTTCACAATGATCTGGACAATGAAATTTACATTTAAAACATCCATCAGATTAAATATCATTTTGATCATCACAATCTTCTTATTCAACTACGATACCATCTCCGCATATTGGAATGCATTCATAATCTACTTCATAGTATCCATAATCACATTTATCTTAACATATTCCTTTAATGCATAATTTACAGTGTTCTCTACATTAGTAATTGCAATTATAACAACCATCATATGGTATATCATTCATATCATCACATTATTCATATTCAACACTAATGAGTCCATCTCCACAAACAGGAATACAATATTAATCCATTAATGTAATTGTATATTCAATATCATAACAATATCCATAAACACAAGCATCGCAATAATGACAGCATTCTATTTTGCATGAATAACATCCATCAAATTAATTAAAATTAGAATCTTCACATTCTTCATATGATAATAAAGCAATTAAATTATCTCCACATTGAGATTCACAAATGAAATGATCAGTCAAATGCCAACCGTAAATGCAATCTAAACAGATTCCTCTTTAACAATAAGAACATTCTCTTTAACAATCATTTCTACAATTATTACATCCATCAAATCTAATAGAATTCATATCATCACATTCTTCTTAACCTTAAATTGAGTTATTTCCACAATCAGATTCACAATAATAATTTTTTAATCTCCATCCTGTAATACAATCATAACATTATCCAAATATACAATTAATACATTCATCTTAGCAATCAAATTCACATTAATTACATCCAAATGATGATTTTGTATATTTATTAACATCACATTATTCATTACCTAAAATAATAAGATCTCCACAAATTGGAATACAAATATTTTAATTTTTATCTAATATCCATCCATTTAAACATTGGATACAAAATCCATTTGATTATAATTAACAACCTTAAGGTAGATCATAATAACATTAATGACATTTATCAAATGGTTCAAGATTATAATCAGTACATTATATATCATTAAGTATTAATTAATTTTAACAAATAGGTTCACATTTATTATTAATTAATTGATAATTTGAATTACATTATAAACAAATACCAAATTAACACAATTTACAATTTGATGGACAAATGAATTTTCCATTTAAACAAATCTCATATTATAATGTATCATCACATTCTTCCCAAATTTAAAATTCAGTATCATCTACAATAGCAATACATGTATTAAAATCTGCATTGAATATCCATCCATTATCACATTCAAAACATATTCCATCAATACAATTTGAACATCCCTCTACACAAGAATACTCACAATTAAAACATCCATCAAATGCATAAATATTACCATCATCGCATTATTCATGTATGTCTGTCATTCCGTTACCACAATTTTTTAAAACTCTTGAGAATATTTAAAAATCTCTTAAGCCAAAGGATTCAGTTGTTGGGGGTTCATTTAAATTTGATGTAAATTCAAATTCTATTTTTGGGTTTGAGTGATCTATTATTACTTCAAAGTTTGGAAAGTAATCATCATATGGCAAACCACAAATATCTGTCATATCCCCATAATAATAAAAATGTTAATGATAAAAAACTAAATTTCCATCAATATAAAGATAAAAGTATTCATTATCCCAAGTGTCAATAAAAGCAAAACGAAATCTAATAATAAGTTTTTAATGAATAGGTAAATTTAATAACTTTGATATTTTACTATTATAACCGCATTTTTGATAACCACCAATTAGTGGTATACCTATTGATAATGTTATTTTTACTGCTGCAATCGCTAATGCCTTAAACCCCATTTACTATGTGCCAACCTTCTTCAGAAAACACTGATGAGTTAATTTCTAAAAATGCTGAATTAAGAAGGCTCCAAGAAATGCAATCCGTTTTAGTATCACCAGAAGTACAGGTTTCGCAGTCAGAAGGACAGAGACTGAGAAACAATTAAAAATCTCGAAACCCCCAAGATTCCTATATTTTTAGAATCTTTTACATTTGATGTAGGTTCATCAAGTGAAGTAGTCATAAGAATCAAAATTGATTAATATACGTGAGGAATTGATATAGTTATTGATCGTATCTCTTCTCCCCATAAATTTCCACATATTTAAGGACTTGCTATAGAAGTATACTATTATGAGAAGGCTTATATCCCATCAACAAATATATTAAAATATTCGTTGTCCCATGTATCAATTCTAGAAAATAAATGAAAAATAAGACTTCCAAAATCTCAATTTTATTTAAACTTCATAATGAGGAGGTAATTAAAGGAATTTCATAACTTTAGTGTGAATACCAAATGTGTCGAAACCACCAAATAGTTGTGTTCCACCACAATCTGAGAAGCTTCCATAAGCATTAGTAGTTATCCAACCTATTTTTAAATAATTTATGTGATGTACCTTCCATTTAACCTAAAGTTATTGATGAAAATGCCTCATAGAAAAGAGTTTAACATGATACACATGAGAGAACTAAAATAAGGAATATCAAAGGAAGGAATCTCATATTGTAATCTAATAAAATAAATACATTTATAAGTTAATATTCTTATTTTTTAATCCATATATATTATATTATTCAACATTTATCATTATATTAATTCAATTATTAAGAAAGACTATTAAATCCACAATTATTAAATTAACATTAACACTTTTATTTTGCAATAATATAAACAAATGAATTATTTATATAATAAATGTTTATTTTATGATAGTCTTAGATCAATTACAACACTTTGAATTTAAAAACAATTCTTTGGAAAAGTTAAATTCTTTATGACAAAATTTACATCCATAAAATTTCAATTATAACAACACAAAGGTATTCTCAATAATCTTACCCTCTTAAAATTGAATAAAAGGTTTAAGAATTAATATAAAATTGATCTAAAATACTATAGTTAATATAAATTATTCAGAGTTATTTTTATATTTTAATTGAAAACTTTTTTGGCTTTAATGAATTAAAATTTGAATGCACTAATTTATGTTAAATAAAGTTATAAGTTTCACAAATTTATGATTATGAAATAACAATAATTTAAACTTTCTGAGCTCCGCTACGCCCACAGAACATTATAAATAAAGATATTTAAGAAAGTAGATCACAAAGAAATTGTTAGAAAAGGATTTTTAATATGCATAAAGTTGTAGGAATACCTAGATCAAATTTTGATTTAAACATGCCCAATAAGTAATAAATGAAAATTAATAAATTTTAAACTGGCTTTATCGAGAGAAATTAAATAGGATGAAAAATGGCAATTATGGAAATTTTAATTTTTATTTATTCAAAACTTTTTATGATATTCTTGAATTTCCATCTCAGTGCTTTATAAATATGCAATCATTGTTTACTTTTAATTTAATTAACAATTTTAATTGGAATTGAATTATCACATTAATCAAAACAAATCATAATTAATGTGATAAAAAAAGAACCTTAATATTTATGGATTGCAAAAGAGAATTTATCAATAATACTTAATTTTAATAAATTTAGATAACGAAGCTTAATTCTGCCCATTAATAAGACTAATTTAAAAAAATTTTAATTAGATTACATCATCATGCACTTTTCCTTTATTTTGTTTCCCATATTTTCATTCCAAATGACTCTCTACTATGAGGCCTTTACAGATCCTTCATTTGTCACGAGTGAAGGTATTCAGAAGTATTTTAACTTTAGACTGGACTATAACAAATGCCTTAAGTACTTATTCTGATTGCTCTGGAACAAGAATTTTAGGAGGATACAATGCCTTCGGAAATTAAGCCAAAGCTATCAAATTACTCTAATTGCCTCCTCATTATATGATATATATAACTATGTAATTCTGGAAGTATAATACTTTTTGTATATAGAATTGATTCTTGGGATGGGGAATTTCTATATATGTACTTGGATGGAACATTAAGTTATATAGCCTAATACAGTATAGGAGGGGTATAATAATGCGGTGGATCATGGGGCGAAGATATATATAGTTTAACAATTACACAACCTCACGTGTTTTAGTCAGTATTAATCCTAATAACAACAAATCTTAACTCCATCCCAAGTGATGTAATTTTATAAAAATATAAGAGGAATCTTGGGGCTTTAGAGATTTTAAACTCTATCTTGATTTATGCCCTCTTGGATGTATATCTTGTTAAGCTAAGGATTCAATCCTGGAATGCAGATCATGGACTCTCGTCGGTTCAGCATTTCTATCAGACTAGTTGTCGTCCTTTAAAACAGAAGGATGGTCAATAATAAATGGAATACAAGATACTACAGTTTGCTCTAGTAATATTATAGTTCTAAATAGGTATTCCTATTTTTGGTGGGTATGGTAAATGTGGTGCTTCATCAATAATCACTGCAACTATTAATATGCCCTAGCACTATTTGATTAAAATTCGATTTAGGATTGCTTATATGGATTCATGGGATAGTGAAAAACTTTACTTTTACATTGATGGCAATTTAATATTTTAAAAAACTCATTAATTTAATGCAGGTGGATTTAGAAGTTATTGTGGTTCTGCTACTTATGATGATTACCTCCCAAATTATGAAGTAATAATGTTTCACAGAAAGGAAAGTTTGGTTATAACTTTTACTTCAACACTTAGCGAAGGGTTTACAAATGAATCACTTGGAATTAGAGACTTTGAAATTTTTACATGTAATATATTGTATTGAATTATAAGATGATTGGGAGGAATGTGGTAATGGAATGACAGACATACATGAATAATGCGATGATGGTAATATTTATGCATTTGATGGATGTTTTAATTGTGAGTATTCTTGTGTAGAGGGATGTTCAAATTGTATTGATGGAATATGTTTTGAATGTGATAATGGATGGATATTCAATGCAGATTTTAATACATGTATTGCTATTGTAGATGATACTGAATTTTAAATTTGGGAAGAATGTGATGATACATTATAATATGAGATTTGTTTAAATGGAAAATTCATTTGTCCATCAAATTGTAAATTGTGTTAATTTGGTATTTGTTTATAATGTAAATCAAATTATCAATTAATTAATAATAAATGTGAACCTATTTGTTAAAATTAATTAATACTTAATGATATCTAATGTACTGATTATAATCTTGAACCATTTGATAAATGTCATTAATGTTATTATGATCTACCTTAAGGTTGTTAATTATAATCAAATGGATTTTGTATCCAATGTTTAAATGGGTGGATATTAGATAAAAATTAAAATATTTGTATTCCAATTTGTGGAGATCTTGTTATTTTAGGTAATGAATAATGTGATATTAATAAATATACAAAATCATCATTTGGATGTAATTAATGTGAATTTGATTGTTAAGATGAATGTATTAATTGTGTATTTGGAAAATGTTATGATTGTATTCCAGGATGGAAATTAAAAAATTATTATTGTGAATCTGATTGTGGAAATAATTCAATTTAAGGTTAAGAAGAATGTGATGATATGAATTCTATTAGATTTGATGGATGTAATAATTGTAGAAATGATTGTTAAAGAGAATGTTCTTATTGTTAAAGAGGAATCTGTTTAGATTGCATTTACGGTTGGCATTTGACTGATCATTTCATTTGTGAATCTCAATGTGGAGATAATTTAATTGCATTAATATCATATGAAGAATGTGAAGATTCTAATTATGATTAATTTGATGGATGTTATTAATGCAAAATGGAATGCTGTCATTATTGTGATGTTTGTGTTTATGGATATTGTTATGATTGTTAATATACATTTACATTAATTGATTAATATTGTATTCCTGTTTGTGGAGATGGACTCATTAGTGTTGAATATGAATAATGTGATGATATGAATGACATACCCTATGATGGTTGTTATAATTGCAATTACTAATGTAGAGAACACTGTAAATTATGTATTAAAGGAATATGTTAAGATAAATGTGATTATGGATACTATGAAGTAGATTATGAATGCATTCCAATATGCGGAGATGGTATCGTTGTTGAATAAGAAGATTGTGATGATCAAAATGATATTTAATCTGATGGATGTTTTAAATGTAAATTTCATTGTCCAGATCATTGTGAAATATGTTAATAAGGACTATGTAAATTATGCGAATAAGGTTTTGAATTAAATCGTATACTAAATTAATGTCTTGCATTTTGTGGTAATGGTATGGTTTCAAAGGAAGAAGAATGTGATGATATGAATAAAGAAGATGGAGATGGATGTTCAAGATTTTGTAGGATTGAAAGCGATTATCAATGCAGAAATTACGAATTAAGTTTTTCATAATGTACTTATTCTAAACAACCAAGATTCTATCTTTAATTTAAAGAAGAAAGAGATTAAAAATAATATGTTTCATTGTTATTTACTTAATAAGTTAAGTATTAAAATTAAGATTTTTATTCTAAATACATCTAAATGAATCTTATAGATATAGACATTAATGTCTATTAGTTGAATTTAATTATTATTTAAGAACCAGTTGAATATCCAACAAATGTTGAATACATGGTAGAAATTTAAATAAATTAAACTTTATCTAAACGTCCTTACTTAGAAGTAACTTTAGATGAATAATTATATAATTCAGAAGATAATACACTTTATAATCAATATGATAAAATATAACTAAATCAGCCTAAGTATATGGATGATTAAAAATAAGAAGCAGCTGCTACTTTAAATCAAGCAAGTAAATATTTAATGAATTCTATTGGAGGAATTGGCATACTTGCTTTTTTTCTAGGAAATTCATTTATTTTCTCTAGTATTCTGGAAGTATTACAACAATAATCTTATTTAAGATTTATTAATGTTGTATTTCCTTTTAATTTGTTTATCTACTTTGAAGCAAGTAACATAATAACCATATAACCTATTTTATAATTCTTTAAGGTTGATTCCATTATGGCACCAACATTTGATACAATATACATAGAATCTTATGAAAAATTAAAATTTTATGAAATTAATGCTGATCTATTAACTAACATTTAAACTTAAATATTTCTCATTATTGTCTTAATTATCATTTATTATTCTTGTGCCTTACTTATAATTATAATAGATTCAATCAAAGTAGAATTATTACTTTTGCTTGGTAAATTTGGATATAAATTACTGATTTAAGTTAAAAGAGTGTGTTGGATTTATTAGAAAGAATTTAGAAAGGATGGGCTTAAGGCATTTCTAATAGCAAATTGTTGGGATCTTTTTTTTACTTGTTTTTTATAATTAAAATCATCATAATCATATACTACATTCAGATCCATAATTTGTTTAATCTTCGCGTATGTAATATTTTATGGATCTTTGTTAATACTTAGATAATATATTTATAAGAATGAATTAATCAAACAAAATTGTTTTAGTTATTGGATTTCAAAAATCGATTTATTTTTCACCTTAAAAAAATTAGTTTTCATTTTCATTTTAGTATGCTTTCAAAAAAATGAGTAANATGTGATGATATGAATTCTATTAGATTTGATGGATGTAATAATTGTAGAAATGATTGTTAAAGAGAATGTTCTTATTGTTAAAGAGGAATCTGTTTAGATTGCATTTACGGTTGGCATTTGACTGATCATTTCATTTGTGAATCTCAATGTGGAGATAATTTAATTGCATTAATATCATATGAAGAATGTGAAGATTCTAATTATGATTAATTTGATGGATGTTATTAATGCAAAATGGAATGCTGTCATTATTGTGATGTTTGTGTTTATGGATATTGTTATGATTGTTAATATACATTTACATTAATTGATTAATATTGTATTCCTGTTTGTGGAGATGGACTCATTAGTGTTGAATATGAATAATGTGATGATATGAATGACATACCCTATGATGGTTGTTATAATTGCAATTACTAATGTAGAGAACACTGTAAATTATGTATTAAAGGAATATGTTAAGATAAATGTGATTATGGATACTATGAAGTAGATTATGAATGCATTCCAATATGCGGAGATGGTATCGTTGTTGAATAAGAAGATTGTGATGATCAAAATGATATTTAATCTGATGGATGTTTTAAATGTAAATTTCATTGTCCAGATCATTGTGAAATATGTTAATAAGGACTATGTAAATTATGCGAATAAGGTTTTGAATTAAATCGTATACTAAATTAATGTCTTGCATTTTGTGGTAATGGTATGGTTTCAAAGGAAGAAGAATGTGATGATATGAATAAAGAAGATGGAGATGGATGTTCAAGATTTTGTAGGATTGAAAGCGATTATCAATGCAGAAATTACGAATTAAGTTTTTCATAATGTACTTATTCTAAACAACCAAGATTCTATCTTTAATTTAAAGAAGAAAGAGATTAAAAATAATATGTTTCATTGTTATTTACTTAATAAGTTAAGTATTAAAATTAAGATTTTTATTCTAAATACATCTAAATGAATCTTATAGATATAGACATTAATGTCTATTAGTTGAATTTAATTATTATTTAAGAACCAGTTGAATATCCAACAAATGTTGAATACATGGTAGAAATTTAAATAAATTAAACTTTATCTAAACGTCCTTACTTAGAAGTAACTTTAGATGAATAATTATATAATTCAGAAGATAATACACTTTATAATCAATATGATAAAATATAACTAAATCAGCCTAAGTATATGGATGATTAAAAATAAGAAGCAGCTGCTACTTTAAATCAAGCAAGTAAATATTTAATGAATTCTATTGGAGGAATTGGCATACTTGCTTTTTTTCTAGGAAATTCATTTATTTTCTCTAGTATTCTGGAAGTATTACAACAATAATCTTATTTAAGATTTATTAATGTGGTATTTCCTTTTAATTTGTTTATCTACTTTGAAGCAAGTAACATAATAACCATATAACCTATTTTATAATTCTTTAAGGTTGATTCCATTATGGCACCAACATTTGATACAATATACATAGAATCTTATGAAAAATTAAAATTTTATGAAATTAATGCTGATCTATTAACTAACATTTAAACTTAAATATTTCTCATTATTGTCTTAATTATCATTTATTATTCTTGTGCCTTACTTATAATTATAATAGATTCAATCAAAGTAGAATTATTACTTTTGCTTGGTAAATTTGGATATAAATTACTGATATAAGTTAGAAGAGTGTGTTGGATTTATTAGAAAGAATTTCGAAAGGATGGGCTTAAGGCATTTCTAATAGCAAATTGTTGGGATCTTTTTTTTACTTGTTTTTTATAATTAAAATCATCATAATCATATACTACATTCAGATCCATAATTTGTTTAATCTTCGCGTATGTAATATTTTATGGATCTTTGTTAATACTTAGATAATATATTTATAAGAATGAATTAATCAAACAAAATTGTTTTAGTTATTGGATTTCAAAAATCGATTTATTTTTCACCTTAAAAAAATTAGTTTTCATTTTCATTTTAGTATGCTTTCAAAAAAATGAGTAAATTCAAACAATCTTATTAACATTTGTATGTAATTTATATCTCATTTATGTAATCAAATTCAAACCAGTCATAAAACAATAGGACTATTGTAATTTACTTATGATGGAAGGAAGTGCCTTTATTTTTACATTAACCTCTGCTATGTATTGGAGTAAGATGTCAAATTTATTTACTTATGATTAGCAGGTGTTATTGGGTTGGGCGCATATTTTATTATTGCTATCGGTGTTAATCATCAATCTTCTTCTATAAATAATTACTCTATTTTAGTAATTAAAAATGTACGTAAAAAAAAAATTATGGAAAACAGATTAAAAACCTTTTATAAACTCCAACCCTTACCCATTGACTAATCTGATGGAATTTAAAATGTGATAACAAATTTTTTCATTATTCTAATTTAATTTATTTAAAAAAACAATTTCTAAACATACAGAATTAATTTTTGGAAATAATATATATTAAAATTATAGATCATTATTTTTATACTTCTTGTTCAAGTTTTTGATTTATTTCTTTTTTTTTTACTTCTAGGATTACTCCATAAGCAATCATGCGACGGTTGTCTACGATTGCTATTCTTCCTAATTAAGGATAATCAATATGATTTTCTAAAGTTATCTACTTTATCGGTTTAAATTCAACGACTCCAACATCTCCAGCTTTTAAATCCTAAGGATTCTCGATATTTTGATTTTAATCATTTAAACTAGTTTTTTATGAAATTTACACAATTCCACATTACATTCTTTTAGTTAGGAAATGTATTGTATAATATTACTTTGGTTTAAGTTAATGTTTAAAGTCTTCCATGATCTTTAACTTTACTACAAATGTTGTGCACTCTAAAGCTGGATCATTGTCGATGTCTGAAAAAACATATCCATTTTTAATCTCTCTGTACGAAAGATTAGTTAAATGAACTCCAATTAAATAGCCAGGGAATCCTTTCTTTAAAATAAAATGATGATTTTCAAGAGCTTTTACACTTGATTTAAGTGGAACTGGAGCAAAGCTTAAAACCTTATTTGGCATCAATGTACCATACAATAATTTTCCAAGGGCAACTGTGCCAACTCCAGGTATAAAAATACAGTCATGCATTACAAATCTGAGAGGCCTGTTAGCTAAAACTTATATATCATCAATTGGGATCCAATCAAGAGCTTCAATTAAGGTAGGACCCTTATACCAGTTCATATGTTATTTTTTTGTTTTGATATTTTCAGCATCTATTAAAGATATTGGAACAAACGAGATTGATTTCGGATTTATTTCAAATTTGGCTAAACGCGAAGAGAAATCATTCACAACATATTCATAGCAATCTTATTGATATTCAACCAAATCCATATCGTTAATAGCACAAATGATGTGCTTTTTGCCCAAGGCTATCCATAATCGTAGTTGCAATTCAAGTGAACTTTATTCTTTAAAATCTTACTAATATTTTTCTTTAACTCCACTCAAAACAAAAACTGCAATATCTCCATAAGCAATTCCAATTTAGATTTAGTTTATGTATTAAAAATCTCCAGGGATATTGATCAAAGTGTACGCTTTCTCTGATATTGTAATATGGAAAGTTGAAAATAATTATGTTTCTTTTTTTTAACGCTCTGTTCTAAGCCGATCAATCAAAAAAGCATATCTAAGATTAGGATTTTCTTAAACCAATGGATGTTCATCGATTCTCTCAAAGGCATACGGAGAAACATAAATTAATTCTTTGACAATTAGGCCAGCGACTGTTGATTTTCCTTAACCATGAGCTCCTAAAAAAACAACTAAATGATTGCCTATTTCTTGTTACATTAATTCTTTATTAATTTATAATAATGCAAAATTAGTTTTATTAACACTTTTTTATAATATAGAATAATCCTCTTTATAAGAAATATTATATAATTAGATACTATTTCAAATTCTGAGTTGCTTATCAAAGCAAAAAGAAAAAATTTACTTAAAATAGATCATATAGCAATTTAAACAAAAACAAATTTGTATTTATCAATATTTAGTGTTAAGTTGCAAGATTTTAGATGGCTTGAAAAAAGTGATTAAGAAACAAAACTATTTTATTAAAATAAATAAGTTTATACTAACTTAAATAAATGAATAAACAAAGTTTATTAGAATTTAAAGTATATATCTGCTAAAACGCTCAATGTTAAGTAAGATAAGATCATTTTTTACCATTACAATAAATGATATAGTGCTAATATTATCACAATAATAGTGATAAAAGAAGAAACAGTAATAATTATAAACCAATATACATATCTGATTCAAATAATGAGGCGAATGACTTTTGTAATAATATTATTGAATATTTGTATCATCCTAGAATATATGGGACTCTGCCGTGCAAATTTTAAAAGTAAAAATAAAAATAAATAAAATAAACTCAGATCTTAGAATTGTAAAGCTCAACATTGTCCATTTAAGCATGATGAAAATCATATAAAATAAGCATTTCAATACAAAATATTCACAAAATTAAATTAGATCTTGGAGAGCAAATCAAAGGAAAATGATGTATGATATATATTAAAATATTTAGTTATTATTTAATTCTAAAAAATACATTCAACGCATAGAAATCAATTAGTTTGAAGATTTGAAACACGAATTTAAACAATTTAAGGAGATTCGAATGGATTTGATAATGAATTACATATGTGCTTTTTTGAACTCTTAAGGCGGAATCTTATATATAGGAATAACAGATAAAGGAGTAGCTTAAGGAATCAAAATGACAAGGAAGTAAAAGGATGACTTTCAAATTGAATTCGACAACATTTTGAGACACTTTGATCCAATTGTTCTACCTTAGTAAGTTGAATTAATGTTTGTTCCTATTTACAAAGATGAGCTAGTAATGATATAGGATTTATTTGTTATTGAGATAAAAATAAATGTTGTCGATAAAAAATAATTATATTTCACCAATTAAAATGAGGCCTATATCAAGAGAAATGCTACAATTAATTAGTTGAAGCCTAAAGAAATAAAGTAATATTATTTATTGTATAAAAAGAGATCTGGTGCTTCTTAAGTAGATGAGTTGATTATAAATATTGTTTTATTGTACTAATTTAATCTTCCAATGATATGGACTTATTTCTGTATCTTAATCAAATAACTTAAGAAGATTTCGTTTATTATATTTCACATCTAATTTTCGAATTGTGGCTTCTTAGATTTATCAGATATTAATATAAATCATAATGAGTAACAGCCTAATTAAATTAAATGTCTTCAAAAATTTTATAAAATAAAGATTTCTATTATAAAAGTCTCTTTAATATAATAAATACTTAATTAGGAACTATTACCAGAATATATGAGAAAAGAAAAGTCATAACAAATATGTTAAATGCTGTAATTTTAGTTTCAAAATAGAAATTAAATATTTAATAAATTTAATTGGTTCAATTAAATTAAAGTTGGTTTATTTTTTAATTTGACTCTTTCTTAATTTTGGTTGGATTATTAAAGTGTTTTTCAGATTTCAATATATTTGTAATAATTATATGAAGCCATAATAAAGTTATTAGGAAGTTTATAGCTGTAAGAATTAAGAATATTATATGGTTATAAATATTCTTTCTCCAAATTGGTGTATAAAAAATATCATTATGATTATCTTGCTGTTTAATCAATGATATTTTGGTTTTGCTGAAAATTAAATGATTGAATCAGAACCGAGAAGAATAATATGATGGATTTAGCTAAAACTAAAAATATTCAAGACTCTTATATAAAGAAAGAATAGAAAAAATAATAATTTTAATATGTTTTTGTTTTAGAAAGTCATAATACTTGAGCAAATGCTGACAATTTAGTTTTCAGCATAATTTACTTTTGGTGAATGAAACATTGATTTTTCTGCCCATTACTTCCTTGCCGTGAAGTAAAGCTGCTCCATTCAATGCTTCTTCTAATGATGACAGTCTTACTAATGCCATATGCTTTTATCTAAATGCTAATATTTATTATACTTATCAATATGTATGAATTTAATAGCCTAAACATTTCCAATTCCTCTGAATAATTCCTTAATGTATGATTCTTCCTCGCATATTTTACCTTTGATGTTACTTAAGTGCAAGGTCTGACTTGGTGGATTAATGGAGATTGATTTTGACTCGCTAAATCTAAATTAAGATTGTTGTGGCACAAATACTAAAGTCTATGGTGATTGAATTGGTAGAGGAAATTATATTTCTTAATAATTTGAATAAAAGATTTTGAGCTTTGAGCCAAAAAAGACTTAATTATTCAAATGATCTAAAGCATTTTAAGCGTGGGAGAGTTTCTAAAATTGAACCAAGGCTGATGCTTTATGTTTAATTTAGATTATAGCTAACACATTTCCAAAATTGGACAATAAATTAAAAATGTTTAATGGTGTAATATTTTAATTAATGAGACCTCTTATATAAACTACTTTGGAGGGCTAATTTTCTCTAAGAAATTAAGGTGATACATAAGTATATGGATCTATGTCTTGATTTTTTGTTTTATCTTCCACTTCTGGAATGGAGAACATGTAGGAATTCAGAATTATATTTTTTTCAGATGAAAATGCAAGCATTATATCTTCGTCGATTGGATCATGCTCATTATCATCATATTAAATAGATTTATAGGATGAAAATTGATTGTATCTAGGAGAATCTCCATCATCAATAAATTCCAGCGAAGTTAATATTCTTGAAGGTTCCCATTCATTTTTTTATTCCTACAGTTCCTATTTATCATTTAAGCTAGCTCTCGTTCCTTCATTCCAGATTCCGACAAAACTTTATTTGATATCTTATTAATGCTAGAATATAGTAGGTTAACTAAATGTTTTGGAATGATAGTCGTGCTCATAATTATGAGTGGTTTTTGTTTAATTTCCTTGTCTGATCGATTTGTAATCTACACCCCCTGAATTATTGTTGAGGAAGGTGACATTCTGCAATGTTGAATAATAACTAAAGGACATAGACAATAAATTTACACATTCATGATTGTTTAATCATACAATTAACATCCATTTAATTATTACAAAGAAAACTTTGCTTATTATAAAGTAGCCATCTCAACGAAGCATTTCCATAGTTTGCCCTTCTCAAATATCAGAATTTTATCAACCTCCCCAAAATTAGAGAAGTATCGATAGAACAAGGAATGTGGTAGCATTATTGATTAAGGATTCTATACAATCACCAACAATACTTTAGTTTACTCATTCTCAGATATCATTAATACAAAAATAAAATTATATATTTATATCGATTACAATTTAAATATTGCATAGATTCTTCTGCATATATTATTTCTTAGGGAATAATTTACTTCATAAGTATCTTCTATTAAATCTTGGGTTACTGCTAAAGTAGTCACTTTCAAAATAATCAAGCAGTCATTCATTTCAAATTATTAACCAAAAATTTAATATCAAATGTTATAAAAATATTATAAAACTCAATATGCAAGTCTTAATTAATTCAATCTACGAATCAACTGGAGACACCAGAATTGAATTAATTAACTTAATGCAAGAAGACATCAAGGCAAAGAAGGGAATTGTTCTGGGTGACTTAAGCAGAATGTTCATCATGATAAATCAGATGCTCATGGATACAAATAAACAAGTGATCTTAGCCACTCATGGATTGCTATCCTCTGTATGTCAATTAACTTAATATCTCAAGCTAATTGATTATCTACTACCTGCTGAATTAGAAGGAGGTCTAAAACACTTTGAAAAATAGCTTATACATAATCTGGCTGACAGCGATAGACAGATAAGGAAATCAACTAAGTCTATTTTCCTTAAATTCATTGCTAAGACTAGAAATTCAGAACAAGTTTTGGAACTATTAAGTGAGTCCTTTAAAAATAAAAATTTTTACATTAGAGAAAGAGCTATAAATTTAATTCCTGATATATTTATAGCAGATAAATCAATATTTTGCAATAGAACTGGGTAGACTTGTAAATTAATTTAGAATCAATGAAGTGAGGAAAGTTATTGAATCTATAATAATTCACTTAAACGACGTTAACGAATCTGTTCGAAAAGCAAGTAAGAAAGTGATTTAGAATCTCAAGAACATTGAAAATTTTGAATTAGTTTATAGAAGATTAGCAATTTAGCATCAAAATGTAGTTGATAAAATACAACAAGAAATGCCCCCAAAGGTTGATAAATTTATTGAATTGAATTTCAAGATCTAAGAACACACAGATCCACTGATTGATTAATTCGTACCCTTTGAGTTTATAGCAAAAACTAATCTAACTATTGATGATTTTCCTTATGACTTAAAGACCTAATTATATTTTGGTTTTTTGCCAAAAGAAATACTATAAGACACCTTGAATCAAAAAGACCTAGCGATTAGAGAAAAAGGAATTACAGAGTTAAACATGCAGTTTTTTGAAGATGAGAGTGAATCCTAAAATTATGACCAAAAAACAGTGGATAAGATAGTGAGGGGAAGCTTTATGCCATCGTTCTTCAAATACATCTCTTCCTTGTTTTTTAGTTAAGACAAGAAAATAATATTGATGATCTTAAATATTGTTGGCAAAGTTATGCAGGTTCCAGGAGTTTAAGTAAATGTTTATTTGCCACTCTGTCTGCCCGGATTAATCTAATGTCTTAAGGATGAAAGAGTAGTAATCAGATAAAAGGCACTATTTCTGTTGAGGAAATTAACTAATTACATCAGCAAGAAATAATATTTTTAAAACTTAATATATTTCTTAGAGTAAAATATGGACAATTGGCATCAAAAGGAAGAAATAATAAACTTGATTTCTTACTTGGTTTTAATGATTCATCCAAGCGAATAATGGTTTTATGGAGTAGATTTAAAGGAAATGAATATAAAATAAGAAAAATAAGTTGAGGAATTGTCATTTAATCTACGGGAAGTTGACTTTAAAAAGAGTTTGATTGCAATTGCTTCTTACTTAAATGATCCTATTGCTAAAGTTAAGTTTGCTTCTCTGGAATGTCTTAGTTTGTTAGCTTACCTAGACAAGAAGCATTTGGAGTACCTACATGAAATTCTGAATAATTAAGTTTATGAAAAGTTGAATGATAAGGTCGACAATGGAATTGTGTACTTTATAAATGAAAATGGAAATCTGGAATTACCTTAATTTAATATCAAAAAATTAGAAGAACAAAAAATACAATCATAAATTAAATTGTCTATGGTTTAATCTATGCAAAGTGAGCCTAAACCTTAAACTCCAGTGGAATCAGAAAAATCAGAAGAGAGTCGATATAAAATAACTTATTACTATGATAAATTTCCAATGTCTTTGAATGATAAAATCATTAAATCAAATGCCTCAATTGATAGTTTGTTCGCTTCAGAGCACAAAAATAATCAAGGAACCAAATATGATATGATAATTCCAATAGGATAATTTTAACAGACGAAAGCTAATGAGCAATTCAAATTGATCAATTCTAACTTATATTTAGAAAAGGAAAAGGTTGATGATAATCCATATGAAGATGAGATAATGCATTCTGATGAAGAAGAATTGTAATCTATTGAATTTGAATACCCCACACGTACTCTGAAATATAGAGGCCATGCTCCAGATCAGATAACAAAATCTAAATATTAACCTATTGATGATATAAAGTCAAGGGTGTTTCATACAATTAAATAATTAAACGAGGACATCAATGTAGACTTACAAATACCTAAGGTTATTAAGGCTAACGTAGGGGCCTATTCTGGATATAAATATGAAGATGAAGAAGAAGCAGATGATGAAGAAATATTTATTGATACAAAACTAATAAAATAACAACATAGATAAACACAACCTACATAAGAAGAATCAATAGAAATTGACGAAAAACTGGTTAAAGAAAATCTTGTGGATAATCAAATAGAATAAGTCTAAGAAATAATCAAGAATTAATAATTAATTTATACCCCTGAATAACGATACCAGAAAAGGTTAGATGAATTTCTCTTATCTTTTGAATAAAGGGATGGAAAAAACAAAGGAAGAAACGCGAGAAAATTAAAGAAGAAGCTTA